AAACATGCAAGTAAAGGGGCTAAAATGTAGAACATTCAGCGCCTAACAGTCACCATAAATTTGAGCCTTAAACTATAGGAATCCATTCCCTTCTTAAGCAATACATGCGCGCCTTAAAGGATTTAGATAATTTAAAATACTAATTACCAGTAATCAAAACAATTAAATGAGAGAAATGGCACACAAAAGAGTGTCTACATATTTAAAAGAATAAAAATGTAAAAGGCAGAGGCTATCCAACGGAAGCCCTTTGAATTTGATGGAAAAAAAAAAAAAAATTGATGGAAAGAAATAACACAATAATGGTTTTGGGTCATTTCACTTATATAACAACACGTATATTGCATATATTATATCAAGTGCCAAGCAATGTAGAAATTGTTGGGGATTTTGAATATTTTTATACATTCTCAATTTTAAATCTATTCACATAATCATATTAAAATACTACACTTATATATTCATATCACAATGTAATCAAAGCATATTATAGATAGTATAAATAAAACAATATAATAAAGTAATAGGCCAGTAAAATGTATAAAATCAATAAGAGGATAGTAAAGAAACTTTTGGCCTGTGTAATGAAGAGGCACGTAATACTGCGCTGTCCTAAAACCTTTACAGCCTCCCTACGTGTATGTTGTGACGACTATAAAAGGCTCTAAGATACAACTCCAATGTCCTCCATAAACATGTTCACAGAGAGACAAATCACCAAATCTTTGTGTCATATTGCCTCCAAAAACTCAAAGATAAGAATATAATATAATAATATATATGAGTTGTAGGAAAAGAATAGAGAAGGGATGCATAAAGATATATAAGTTAAGCATTAATTATTTTGTTGAAGAGACCATATATTTATAAGCTACCTCATGTCTCTAGCCAATAGACATAACCCTTATCAGAAACACCTTTTCATATTTACTCACATCTCTTTAATTGAACCGTAAAATGAAGTTTTAAAAACTTTATATGGTAAAAACCTAACAGAAATACCAAAGTGAAACATTATAGAGACATTTTGTTGAACGTTTGGAAGTCATACAAATACTCTACTACAAAGAAGATCATCAAATCAATTCAATTTCATGCAATAAACAATGCAAAAAGAACGGAACATAGAAATCATGTTGTTGTATATAATAATTTTCTAAAAACAGAATTGTAGAAAAGATTCATAGCATGTAAATATAAATTTGTATATATAAACATACACATATGAATTTGTATATATATATATATATATACACACACACACATGTAAATACACATTTGCAACAAAGATTGGGGATGTAATATAAAACCTAATAGAAAATAATCATCATAATTTCAGGTATTTGACGAAAATATGCATATATATATACACACACATACACACCTTATACAGATTTAAAGACTCTCCTACTTAGAAAATTTTCACAAACACCGATTCTGCGTTCGAGTAGAGGAATTGAATTCTCATAACAATCGATCAACAGAAATGGAAGCTAACGAAGTTATATGTGTGTGTATATATACACACACACACACACATTGTATATATAAACAGAGAGAGAACCGTATACGACATTTGAGAGTTAAGATTCAACTTTTGAAGGCCGAAGAAGTTGAGCTTCGGAGGGAGGGAGCAAGGACGCCATTGCTACTTATGTAGAGAGAGAAATACGAATGCATAGATCTACGTTTCGTTGGTCAAATTCTGAGTTTATAATCAGCTTGTAAAAAAAGATTGAGAAAATGAGAAGGCTTTTCTTGAAAACTTAAACTCTCACGGCTCAATGGAAACTAAATCATCAATCTACGCTCTATCTTTTAGGATTTTTTGGAGAAGATGCGGAGTTGTGGAGTGATTTTAGTTTATTGGTGTTTTGAAGGAAAAAACATTAGTTATGAGCTTTTTAAATTTAATTTAAATTAAAAAATTAAACATTACTCAAACACCGTAATAATTAACGCGCTAAATAAGAAAGAATATATGATAAATATGAAGTTTTCTTTTAAAAAATTATTTGACACTAATATTTAATTTTTAATATAAAATTTAGTTTTTAAAAAGAAATTTTTACTTGTTTACAAGATTTGAAGCTTAAAACGTAATAAATAAAATGCAGTAAATAATCATTTTTGTTGTAGCGACACCAGCTCTCATGCCGCCACCTCCTGCAACCCATCTGGTGCTTTCGGTTACATCCCGTACGCCCCACCAATGTCGAAAACTCTCAAATAAACAGGTGGAGAGAGAGAGGGACAGAGAGATTAAGTGAACCCATATTTGCAGACCCAAAATTGCAGGGGCATCGATGATGGTGCCAAAATAGTGGAAGAGAACCCTATATTTGCAGACCCAAAATTGCAGAGGCATTTCATCAAACAGTCTGTCGGAAGCATTGATGTAGCCATGGACGATCCAGTGATGAGGGCCTCCCGGACGGACCCGATGAAGGGGGAGATGAGGAAGCCGAGGATGGTTTGGACTTTGGAGAGAGTCGGCGGCTTGGACGGCAGGTTCTTCGCAGTAGGGCCGCCGGTGACTTGGACGTAGAGAGAGAGAGAGACCGGAGAGAAAAGGGGAAGACCCAAAAACAGAAAAAAAATTAAAAATTAAAAATTAACAAAAGCCATCAGCCAATAGGACTTCCTAATATTCCGCATCAGTCCAAATCATGAAATGATTTCTCCGACGGCAAATGTTCCCTTTCAGTCGTTCAAGTGACGGCTAAAATAGAAACGTGTGAAACAGACAAAAAGTAAATAAAAAATTAACAAAAGACATCAGCCAATAAGACTTCCTAACTCATATAACTGTCCATATAATTATGAGTTTAAGAATAAATATAGCTTGTATCACCTCAAAACTCATATAAAAATTTTATTAGTATCATTTATTTTTGAAGTCCAAATCTTATAAAATAAAAATATAAATTAATTATTGGTAGATTTTACAACAATACCTCGTTGTTTTATTTAAATGTTTATACACAAAAATAAAATATATCTTTCATATGAATTCAAGAAAGAGAATAAAAAATTACTCAAATGTTTCCTCGTATGAAATAAAAACACATGAACTTTTTTTTGTGAATCAATTCACGAGAAATAGAAAAAACTAAAATATTGTGATACTAAAATAATGTATTAATATCAGAGATATTATTACTTAGTTTTGGTTTGATATAGTGTTTCTGGAAGAGGCGGTTATTCTTTTTGTCATTTTAATCTTGTTAGTTACAGGGCCAAAGGATGCTATTGGTGTTGGGGTTGGTTTTTCTAAAGTGGTCCCTTTCATTAGGCAAATTTGTGTTTGGAATAGTGGAGTTTCTTAGACATCTTTTCTCTCGCATCTTTGTTTTCTTTTTTGTTTGTTTTTTCTTTTACTGGAAAGGTTTCTCCTTTAGAATTTGTTCTTTCCAGTAATTTTCTGAGGGCACTGTGAGCTTGTAAATATATATCTTTTTCCTTTTATACAAAAATTATTTATGAAAAAAAAATAATAATAATGTATGAGTCCAAACTATGAAATAATTTATATCTTCCTTTCACTGGTTAAGTGATGGCTAAAATAGAAAAGTTTGTTTAATTGGATGAGCAGAGAGAAAGGGTGAAATCTATGTTTTTTTATTTTATTAGATTCAGCGTTGAAAAGGGCAAGACCCATAAAAAAAAATAATAATAAAAAAATAATAATAATAATTAATTAACAAAAGCCATCAGCCAATAGGACTTCCTAATATTCAGTATCAGTCCAAACCATGAAATAATCTCTCTGACGGCTAACGGTCCCTTTCAGTCGTTCAAGTGACGGCTAAAATAGAAACGTGTGAAACGGAAAAAAATAAATAAAAAATTAACAAAAGATATCAGCCAATAAGACTTCCTAACTCATATAATTGTCCATATAATTATGAATTAAGAATAAATATAACTTGTATCACCCTCAAAACTCATATAAAAGTTTTATTAGGACCATTTATTTTTGAAAGCTCAAATCTTATAAAATAAAAATATAAATTAATTAATTATTAATAGATTTTATAACAATACATTATTGTTTTATTTAAATGTATATATACGCAAGTATAATATTTTTCATATGAATTCAAGAAAGAGAATAAAAAATTACTCGAATGCTTCCTCATATGAAATAAAAACACATGAACTGTTTTTGTGAATCAATTCACGAAAAGTAGTAAAAACTAAAATATTGTGATACTAATATAACAATAATGCCAATAACAATAATATTATCATATGTGCTAATATTTGTAGTTGTGAAGACAAATTCTATCGCTACTCTTATATAAATTATTAAAGCACTTCTCTATTTTGTTCTTGCTAATTATATTTTGTGTTAAAATGTTATATATTTCTTTCAATATTTCATCAAGGTAAAAATGACATGTATTTTTCTCAAAGTGGAATCAAAGTAATCAAATTTTTGTTTTTTAAAAATTGAAACATTTGTTGAATAAAATTTAACTCTTGAACAAATTTTTTTTTTATTTACAACTTTTTTCTCTTACCTGTAACTTGTCGTTTTCTCTTATTTATTTTTTATTTTTATTTTTATTTTTTGCGTATCGATCAGTTTTCATAACTACTTATTTAGGTTCATTTTCTTTATTTTTTGAATTATATTTTTTCAATATATATACTAGTAAGAAATTAAGCATGGTATAATAATTTTCTTTTTTAATTACAATTGATTGATAAATTTTAAATTATATAGTATTAATTTGGCCCAACTGAGAAGAGTCCCATGTCCCTCCAAATTATGATTCCTGGCTCCGCCCAGACACCCGCACTCACTTTAAGAAAAATCTGAAGCTCGGAAACAAAATTCTCCAAAGTCGTTAATATCCGCACACCAACGCTGAATCTATGTTGTTAAGATGGTATTTTTTGAATGTTGACTATTTGAGTAAAAAAAAATTTTGAATATTTGATTGCAAGATGGGCCATATAAAAGGGTCATATGACATGGAACAAAATGCAACAAAAATTGAAAACAATGGAAGATTATCTCTCACTTTGGAGCTTTTCAGGATGTTTGATAGGTACCCAAATGGCCATGAGAGCTGCAATTGAGCTAAATGTTTTCAATATCATTAGCGATTCAGGGCCTGAAGCTCAGTTGTCTTCAGCTGAAATAGTCTCAAAAATACCCACCACCAATCCAAACGCAGCCACTGCCTTGGATAGGATACTGAGAATGCTGAGTGCAAACTCCGTGCTGTCAACGTCCGTGAGACAATCCCGGAATTGCGAGACGAGTCCAGAAAGAACTTATGGGCTGACGACGAAGTCGCGTGCCTTGGTGACAAACAGTCCAGACGGAGTTTCTACAGCTCCAATGGCGCTTCTGGTCTCCGATAGGGCGTATGTGGAGGGTCTTTACAAGCTCAAAGACGCCGTGCTCGAACCGGAGTGCTTGCCGTTTCACAAGGCTCATGGAATAGGCCTTTTTGAGTATGCTTCTAAGAATCCAGGATTGAGCAGAGTGTTCGACGATACTATGGCAAACAGTTCGAAAATCGTGTTTGGTATGGTGTTCAAGGTGTACACTGGATTTGAACAGGTGAGAGAGTTGATGGATGTAGGGGGTGGCAATGGAACTTCACTTGGGAAGATCGTCTCCGTTTGTCCGCACATTCATGGCATCAACTTTGATTTGGCTCATGTGATCGCCAATGCTCTTGACTTCCCTGGTTAGTTCTGCATATTCAAGTCTTTCTGTTTGTCTCTCTCTCTCTCTCTCTCTCTGTGTATATATATATATATTGTTGTTATTATATATAACTGCTTTTGGATTAGAATTCACTAAAATGATCTGAAATGAATTAATCACTTGGCAGGTGTGGAGAAAATTGCTGGAGACATGTTCGAGTCACTGCCAAATGCACAAACGATTTTACTGAAGGTTTGTGATCATTTTATACTTCTGAACTCATATTCCTGTAAGCATAAAATGTCTTCTTGCCTTGAAATTAGTAATAACATGGAAAATACTTGGTCCTGACCTATATAGACAAACTTTGTCCTCCCAAGGTATAAATGTATTTCTGTAACATCACATAGAAACAGAGGCTCTTCTTTGCCAGAAACAGAGGCTAATAAGCCTCTCTGCTTGGGGCCAAATCTGGTATAAAATATAGGGAGGGATTGAAATGGCAACCATTGAAAATTTATTTGCTTTAGTAGATTTGGAGTAGAGTTCTGCGTCAGTTTACCAGAGAGAGGTGGGCTGCTTTGATACTAAGAATGAAGACTAGGGTTTTGTGTTGTATATAATTTTTTATATGTAAAATGGGTTTTTAATCCGATTTATCGTTAGTACAGGTCTAATCAATTTTTAAATTTAAAACAGATGGTAGTCTCTTATTGGACCACATAGGAGGGCGATGAAGTATTACCGTATTTGACTTAGTCAATAATGTAGGTCCATTCAAATAGTTATTTTACCAGTACTCTTTGTTTTTAACTTTGTATTGAAGGCAAAGTCAGTAGCTACTACCTAGGTTGCAAAAGCCATGGGGGATTTTTGTTTTGTAGACATATAGGTTGCAAAATCTCATTCTCCCACTTCCATTCCATTTATTTATTTATATTTATATTTTTTTATTACTTTGGTTGTCTTAAATTTCATCAAAATTTTCAAAACAATCTCATTCTTATCCTCATTTACATAATCGATTTTCAAAATTCGTCCCAAACAGAGAGTGAGGCCTGCCAAAGTGGGATTTTCACCAACTCTTTATACATATTTGACCTATTTTCACTAGCGATCCAGGGGCTCAAGCCCACCCCCCAAAAAATAATATATGTATATGGTAGTCCCTTATTGGAACCACATAGGAGGACAAGGTTTTTCCTTTATTGTTCTAATACTAATATTATTTCATTAGGAGGAAAAAAAAAAAAAAAAAAATTGATATAGGACAAGAAGTATTACAGTATTTGACTTAGTCAATCATGTAGGTCCATTCAAATAGTTATTTTCCCGGTACTATTTGTTTGTAACTTTGTATTGATTCTATTGAAGGCAAAAGTCGGTAGCTACTACCTAGGTTGCAAAAGTCATGGTGGATTTTTGTTTTGAAGACAGATAGGTTGCAAAATCTCATTCTCCATCTTCCATTTATTTATTTTTTATTATTATTATTTAACTGTGGTTGTCTTAAATTTCATCAAAATTTTCAAAACATCTCATTCTAGTCCTCGTTTACTTAATCGATTTTCAAAATCGTCTCAAACGGAGAGTAGGGCCTGCCAGAATGGGATTTTCGCCATCCCTTTATACATATTTGATCTATTTTCACTGGACTCAAGCTCACCCCCAAAAAATAATATATATATTTTTGTTATACCCAATTTTAGCCAAGCCAAAAAATAATAATAATAATAATGCTTTATTACTAGTTATTAATCCATTTTATTGACAATTCATGAGTCCGCCATTAACTATTTTAGTAATATATCATAGTATATAAGGGTAATTTAATAAATTTATTATATATTTGAGGCGGGGGCAAGCATTTTTCGAAACCACCCCAAAACCCACCAAAATTTTCAAAGCAGCCCCCATTCGAGGCAAGCGAGCCCCTAAAGTGAGAATTTTTGTCATCCCTATAAGTAGATACGTTGCAAATTTCAAAATATATATATATATATATATATATATATATATATATATATATAATGTGACAATGCTTACCTACTTATTAGAGAGTAGGTAAAATAATTTTAGTGTGAGATTTTCATTTAGCTTTTGCTTCGAAAAAAATAAGACAAGATGTTTAATACAGAGTAATATGATTTGAATCTTCACACCAGCATGTTTCTGATTTACATTGTGGGTCAATGTAGCTATTCACGATAATAAATAGGCCTCTCCAAGAAAATTATTAAATAACATAAATAAACTCATAGGATGGTCCCATTAATAATAAGGGATCAGGATTCTCTTGTACAAGTTTAGGTTGTGTGAGGCAATAGTTTTAAATTAGCAATGCAATAATTTTAAATTGATAATATAATAATTATAAATTCATAAAGTAACAACGTGTTGAATTGTTAATTTAATGGTATTGCAACTTTACAATAATATGTAATATGTCACACGAATGTTGCAACTTCGATAAATATATGTTGTATGAGTATTGCATTATTATTGCATCTTCGATGAATCTCGCAGTATTAATTTAATAGCGTACAAAATGAACACAAGAATGGCGAGGAAACGGAGATGATTTGAATCCAATGATAGTAAGATAGCATGTATAACACTACTCACACAAATTCTACATGCATGCAGTTCATATTGCATGATTGGGATGACAAGCATTGCATCAACCTGTTGAGAAATTGCTGGAAGGCATTACCTGATGTTGGTAAAGTCATAGTTATTGAGTTTGTGATCCCTCAACTACTGCAAAATGATGCTGAAACAATGAATGCAATATCATCGGACTTCCATATGATGATATCCACCACCGGTGGAAAGGAGAGAACAACGGCCGAATATATTGCGCTAGCAAAAGTTGAAGGTTTTACTGAAACAAAGATCATTCCAATTTCACAAGGGCTTCATGTTTTGGAATTCATTAAGAGAAACATTGCGTAGAGTGTGCATGGTGTCTCCTTCCATATATATGTATGTTGCTTTTGGCAATGTTTGAAACATTATGATAAAAAGTAATGCGAGTACCTTACAACAATAAACACTTCCTTTTGTATTGCCCATTTGAAACGGATTTTATGGGAATCGAATCCTGAGATGGAGTTCCTGGTGTTTGCAAGTTACAAAATTCGAGATAAATTTGGATATTCTATGGAAAGTGAAAGTGAAAAAAAATGAAAATCAAGTTTCCATCATGGGAATCGAATCCTGAGATGGAGTTCCTGTTGTTTGCAAGTTACGAAATTCGAGATAAATTTGGATATTCTATGGAAAGTGAAAGTGAAAAAAATAAAAATCAAGTTTCAATCATGCATTTGTTTAATAGGAAATTTTTTAAAGAAAGTTGTGAGAAAATTTTATTTTGTTAGTTTGGGTAGAATGAAAAGGAAAATAAAATGATTTTACTTACCAAAAATACCCTCTAAACCTCTCTAAATTACATTATTTTCATTTTTTATCAAATTATATATGGAAAGGTTAAGAAAATAAGATATAATATTATAAAGGAAGAAAAAAGAATTTGATAGGAGAGATTGACTAACTATAGGTGAGAGCTTCAAGCCATTGATTAAGAATCCCAATATTAACCCAGTTTTCACCCAACACTCTTGCTATCAACAAATAGTTATGGAACCACAACTGTTGATTACCCTCTGTAACACAGGCCGGATTGTGGAAGACATCCATTGCTAACTGCAAATGCCTAGTTACCAATGGCTATCTTATGCTTTTCACCATGTTGGTGCAATTGAGTGGCAATTTTAAGTAGTTTTTTTGTGCGTTCATGGCTTAGGCCTTCTTTGTATTGGCTTAGGCCTCTTGGGTTGGGTTGTTGTCTTTTGGTTGCCTGGTTGTTGGGCTGCTGGGCCTTCTGGCCTTGTAAATTCAAATACATATATTCAATTGCTTAAACTTTGGAAAAAAAAACAAAATAGTTATGTATATATATAACAACTCTTATGAAAAAAAATATTTTACTAATCTCTTGCCATCAACAAACCAAACTTTATAAAAATTAAAATCTTTTCCTTTTCTTTTCCTTTCTTGTTACTTGACACTAACCAAACTGACCTTAAGAGTTTCCAACTTAGACACTCCACCATTTGGCATATAAATATAAGGTCACTCAAAAAATTATGGGATAGACATAGAGACTAGAACGCCAAACCTTTGACGAATCTCTTACCCAACAAACACTCTGAAGTTCTAAGAGCGAACAACATCAAGCACGCCACACTTGTGATGTTCTTCTTTGAAGACCTTCAACACTCAAAATTTCTAAAGACCAACAAGAAGTATGCCACAATCTACCAACAATATTCCCGCAACAAAGATTGGTAGGGGTGTAGTCATTCCATCGAGTGAAAGCACCAACTCTTTGCATTAGACAACTCAAAGCAAAACAATTCTTTTTACAAGTAAGCAAGGCATGGTGAAATGGATCAAGCTAAAGCCTACAAAAGCCTAATTTCAAACCATCCAAGACTATCTAGTGGCAAGAAAACCAAGTGTTTATCATCTGTAGAAGAGCCATTAGAGAAAACTCCCTTTCAAAAGGGAACCTACACGTGAAGACTTCCCCAAGACATTCACCACTACAAGGAAATGTTGGACCTTACGAATATGTTTCCTTGACATCTCTTGGTGCAATGAAGAAAGTACCTACATTCTCAAGAAGATCATTCATTGGATAAAACTTTGAACGGCCTTTAAATTCTCCTTTGAAAGGCGATTAAAACAAAGTCCTGAATAAAACATCCATTTTTTACAAGTTCAAAAGATTTTATTTGCCTATATCTAGAGAACTCTTCTAGTTTAGTCATGCCAGTAATGACAACCAATATTATCACAATTGAGGAAGAACTTATATATATAACCAAAATTAACAGTGCGTTTTAAGAAACTCTTCAAGACCATCGAATAAAAGGACTTACAAACTGTTTCTCTCATGAATAAACTCGAATGGTTGCACATGCACACTTGTGCAAGCCGTCAATGTCAAATCAAACTATCCTTAATATTTTAACACTTAATTAATATAATATGTATATATAACCGAAATTAAAAAAAAAAAAAAAAAATTATCAAGCAAGCTTTTTAAGTTAGATTTTTTTATCACATAATTTTTTTAAAATGTAAAATTTGCAAAAATTAATTAGCAAACTTTGAAAACAAAATTAATATTTACATACTAATAAAATATATGTAAATAAGTATATAATAATAAATCATATGTAAATAAGTTTATATACTAAATTAAAATTTTATATACTAATAAAACTGAATTAATTAACAAACTTTACATATAATTTTTTTGGTCAAGGGCATTCATGTACTTTCATTAGCAAAGTTAACAGTTTTAACTCTGAAAGGGGGTGTCAGAGTAATTTTGCCATAAGTTTTATCTATGGGTAATATAGCTAAACTTTAGGTAGGTCGGAGTAATATATACCCATTTGAAAACAATTTATTTTTCTGACATTAACTAAACATTTCTATTTTAGCTGGGCCGGATATCCTTATCTAGTAATTGTTGGGCTGGGCTGACTGCACCTAAACCCAATTCATACTAGTGGCCATTGATGCATAAACTGTCCAATTGATCAGGCCCAAGCACAGTTTTGAACTTTGGACGAAGGTTTGTGAGAGAAGTAATATGATCCGGGCTGGACTTGGACCCAACTTAGCCTGGCCATATATAAGCACATCACTTTCTACTTAGTGATGTCGGGTCCAAAGTTTGTGGGAGCAGTAATGTGATCCGGGCAAGACTTGACCCAACTTAGCCTGGCCATTTATGGTCACATCACTCTTCTCGTTAGTGACGTCAATGGGACAGGTTTGGGACTGGGAGGCACATCACTCTTTTAGTTAGTGATGTCAATGGGGCAGGTTAGGGGCACCCTTTCCTAAACCCGTTCAACCAATGAATTTTTTTTTCGAAACTCAATTTGGGGTGGCCTACATCGGAATCGTAGTGGTGGGTTCGGGATATACATAAAGAATTTAAACTTTAATAAATATAAGATAAATTTTGTAAATTTTATTTGTGGTATAATCAAATACTTAACAATCATCATAACAAAAATCTGTTAAATTTTAAAATTATCAAAAGAAATAAAGGAAAAAAGAAAAATTATAGCTAATAAAAAAATATTTATTTATATATTAATTATTAATAGGAAAGATTCGGACTTTGCGAGTTCTAAATTTTTTTTTTCAAAACCTGCCTCTAATTCAACTGGAATAACCCCAAACTTGTTCTGACAGGAGTATGACAATGCTGGTCAAATTGATATCCCTACTTCTAATATGAAGTCGGAATTACTTTCATTGTCACCATCATTTAATTACCTGATGATTAGTAGCAAATATAATCATTTTCAAATGACATGTGTTTTGTGGTACACTAGAGACAATTTTGGTTACTCATATAAAAAATTTTATATTGGGTCTTTTATAAACAGCTATACAGCACGAGAGATGGAAAATTCAATGGTCTCAAGGTTTGAACAGTGTGTTCTACTAAAAAATAATAATAATTTAATCTCGCATACTGAGCCAGCTTGGGCCAAGGGCGGCACGTGCCCCCTGGGCCCAGGCTGGCCCATTACATATATATATATATATATAAAAAGTACATAATTTGTAAAGTATCATTTTCTGTGTCTTAAAATTTATTTTTCTTTCTAAAATACATTTGGGCCTGGTTTTGTCTTCTTTTTTTTTTTTTTTTTTTTTTTTTTTTTTTTTTTTTTTTTTTTTCGTTTCTACATATAGATATACAATCTGTAAAATATCACTTTGTGCCTTCTTGAAATTAAATCATGGCTCTATCCTGCTCACCCTATATACATTTATAATATTATTGATTTTGTTTTTTTTTTTTTTTGCTTTTCATTTCTCAATACTTCTTCAAGTGGTCTTTTATTTTGAATTTGAAATAAAAATGTAAAATTTTATATACAAAAAATAACTTTGTGGATGTTTCATAGATTATGCAGAATATTTGCTCCAATTAATTTAGTGCTTTACTTTTTAATTGATAAATGAAAAAATAAATAGTTTTTTATATCCTTTTGAATTTTCAGCGTTTAACAGTCAGTAAGTGATATTGTTGTAACTTAAAATTTTAGCCCATTTTAAGGAGTGCTTACATTTACAGATTGCGTTATTATCCTTATGCTTTGTACGGTAGGAAGGAAAAAAATTGAATGGAAGGGAGAGAAGAAAGAATGACTGAGACATCCAGGGAATGACTAAGACATCACAGGGAAGAGATTAAGCGTTTCCCTCTTTTTGTTCGATTGGATGGAAGGCAATGAAAAAAACTGACAATTTAATTTGATGATAAAATGAAAGATAAAATTTTAAGTTGTTTTTACCCTTAAATCCATCTCTTACTTTATTTATGTGATTTATTAAATATTTATGAAGGGTAATGTAGTAATTTAAAACTTCTATAATAGGCTCACTTGTCTTCTCTCTGATCTTCTGTCTATATTTTGACACCTATCGTTTCTTTTTTGGGATTAATATCAGCAATGCAGTTCATCCAAAGATAAATCTAATTCATATTATAGAGCTATGAGTCTATGACACAATTAAACCCGAACGAACAAAATGTCGAATTGAATCGTACCAATCTCTACTGGGGTTATTACTCATTTTTGTACGTGTTTTATTTTCCAATTATTTCTTCAATTAAGGAAAGGAAAGAGAATACTAGAATTATAGGAATTCTCTTAGCCCATTCAGAAGGATCTCATTTCATAATTATCCATGACTTGTTTCTTAACGGTGAAGTAAGATCAACCAAGTTCATAAGCTTATTATCCTAGGTCGGAACAAGTTGATAAGATCTCCTTTTTTACGTCCCCATGTCCCCAGTGTGGCGACATGGGGGCAAAAAATGGAAACGGAGGAATGGGGTTTCTCTTGCTTTTGGCATAGTGAGTCCCTAGTGGGAGGCTCACATGATGGGCTATTAACTCAATGGTAGAACGCGCCCTTGATAATTGCGTCGTTGTGCCTGGGCTGAGGAAATTTGTTCTTTCCTTCCTATTTTCCTTCCACCCCTCTTCTTTCCTTCCTACCGAACATAGCATAAAGGGTTGGTTCAAGTAA